AATAACGAATGGACGCCATATTAAGTAAATGTATTTTAGTGCACATATAATGTACTTTAAAATATAACTTTAATTTTTTATATCTTTTAAAATATAACATACTTTTTAATTTTGAACATACTCTGTTCCTTTCATCAGAGAATTACTGACAATGTTCTTGTGCCACTGACTGTACACAAGAACTTCTTCCTTAAGTCAATCGGTCTTGTAGGGCCGCTCTCTTTGTCCCGGATTTTCCAGCGCAGCCTTACGCGCAAAGCAGGTTTATTACTCGGCGGCGCGAGACAAGTATCAGCCATCAAATTGAATTTGTTGGCGAAGTGAAACTGCGAAACGCACAGAATGAACTGCAATACAGAGCGAATCGTAAAGCTCACATTGTCTCGACATACCGCGACAAACTGGAGAAAGAGAGAAGAAAATCTCGAAGTTCGACTTTAACGACGTTCTTTTATGTTTTTCAGAAAAACATAATTCAAAGAGCAAATAAAATACATGCGTGCAAAAAGGTTTGAATTCATCTTTTTGTACTTTTATAATTTTGTGTCTTCTCCATTTTGACGAAATAAAATTGTAATCAAATTTTCCATTCATCGGAAGTTGTAACAGTTACATAAATAAGATGTAACTATTGATATAAGTATCGATAAATATAAGAAAGTATCATCACTTTGTGAACTCAAGATTGTGGAAATATCTACATATAAAATACTAGCTATTTATCGAATATATTTTTCAATACTGTTATATGAGTTTCTGTGTTAGACTTGGAGATGCAAAATAAGCGCTAATCTCTCTCGAAAGCATCAACGGTATTAAATCGTATCGCAACTAAAGTACAATAAAATTAAGACGTAATGCAAAAGTAAGAGAAACGAGTTTCCTGCTGCGAGAGCGCAAGATATGCGGAGACGATAGCAAATATGTGCAAGTAATTCTTTAGATATGCTTTTAAGAAAAATGTGTTGGAACTACATTTCAATTATATCTCAAATGTACATCTCAAATTACATCTTTAATCAAAATGTTTATTTTATTTTTGAAGTGTGTATTTAACTATTTATATTTTTTAGGGAATTTTCGAAACGTTATTCTTAAAATTCATAAATCAACAACATAGACGATTTCATCTGTCAAATATTCCAATTGCAATATATTTACTTTACCACATATTCAATCTGTTTATTAAAAAAAATTAATCACAAATATTTTATAAACGTTTCTAATATTCAAGAATAAAAGAAGCGATATTAATTTCACGATGTTGTTAAACATTCCTTCGGTAGGTTAAATGTTAATTAAATGCCAACATAAAGATTTTTAAAAGTAGAATTCTAATTATGCGTTTGAAGTCAAATGAAATTTCCCTTGTTAATCTCGATTTTTCTCGCGTAACTCTCAAATTTTTCATCTTCCTTGATGCACGACGAACGCGCGACTAAATTCTTGCCTGGATCGTTGATTCAGGAGCAATGCCCGTTGATTTCCTATGTGGGACTCATTCCGCCGATAACTCACGGAAAGGAATTCCGCGTCGCGCATAACGCGCGATCGGTTATTCCAGCGTTTCCATCAATCCGACACGGTGTACGAACACTGAAATAAATCCAGAGAGAACATGACGCAGCGTCCGTCGTGCGATCCAGGAAATATCAACTCTCCCGAGACGAATAGCGAGATCGCGTAAGAAAGCACAATGGGCAATATAAAACAGAGTGCTCCAAAGCTGTCGGCGTTGCCTTTATGTATGAATTCCTCGGTCAATGTCGTAGATTTCTCCTTAAATAGGAATGCTGTGACACGCATCCGCATTTAACGTACAATAGATTAAAAACGTGAAATTGAAGAGAGTTAAATTTTAGAAACATGAATAGCGAGATCCTATTCTATGTACGAATAATTTCAGGCTTAAAAGACCTGCAATTTGAATTGTCATTTGATATTTAATGTAAAAAATAAAAGATTTATGAGAAAACCGCGCAACGTTTATTAAGGAAATCTCAATTATAAATTGGTTAAGCAAAAACGCGGTCAAAGAAAGGTTCTTTTAAAAGAAAGATATTATTTTACAGGAAATAATACTGATTACATCAGCTAAGTGTGGATGATGATTCCTGAAGATATTAATTTTTCTCGAGATACTTCTTCTTGTGATGGGTTTTTTATGACTTATTTTTTTGCATTTGCTGCATCAATAAGGAGTTATATCCGGCGGAATTGTTCGTCGACGTTTTTCCCATGATGCACGGTAGATTAACTTGGTCGACGAGGCGCTCGAAAATCATTGCTGGGGCCCGCGGACACGATACTTTTACTTACAAATTGGTATTTTATCGGTGTTGGTAACAAAATGCCTCCCATCGCGACGTCACGTCAACGCGCGATCGCGTGAGAAAGCCGCAAATGAAGTTAAACTGAAGTCTGATGGTTATAGATGAAAATGATTGCATCGTTCATGATTTAATACAAACTTATTGAAAATTCCGCAAAAATTGCTAGACCTAATTAAGGTCGATTATTAGAGATTTAGATTAGATGCCCGCGAAATGTATTCATTGAAGACGTAATTACAGTTCTTGGTAATGTATGTTACAAAAGTTATATTGTGATATTCGAATCAATGTTAAAATAATAGAATAGTAGACAATTGTCTTAGATCATGTAGATTAAGATACAACAATTGCCAATTGTTACAAGCAATCCTGAGTGTGTAAGAATTGCTTTATTTTAAAACTAAAACAAGAAAAGACGTTGAAAATAAAATAATAGATTTAACATTATGTTATTATAAATATTAACAGATTAATATTTCTAATAAAAGATATATGAAAGATATATAATCGCATCTCTTGGAAAAAAATATACTATAATCGCAGCAAAAAATTTAATGCCAGCAAAAAAAGCAGTATCAAAAAAATTAATAAAATACTACGACATAATATAAATATTAATTATCATTTTGTAGACATATTTGAATATAACTTTAGAAAAGATCGTTAATAATTAAGATATCTCGTTACAATTTAATTATACGTGTACACCAATATATTTATTTTCTTTCCACCAGTTAATTTAGCTATGTAGCTAATTGACATTGACATTCAAACCCGTTTTAGTTCTGTGAATTTGTTTTATGAATTCACCGTTTCACGCTAATATTTCCGCTTAAAATCGTATCGTGTATATTACCTTGTCCGGGATGATATATGGTAGCTACATGAAATATACATATCGTTGCACTCTCGGTATCAATATCAATATTTATACATTTGAGTTCTGCGGAACATGATGCTAAATCCAGCGATATGTTATCGGTACAAGGGTCTATATTACATGTATGCATCGTGCATTATTGCAGTTCAACCATTTCCCGTACATTACGTAGGTATCTTACATCTTTTATAAACGACGCTTTGTTCGCTTATCTGGCTGCCGTCGATCGGTAATAGATTACATCGAAATTACGCTGCGCGAAAAGATCTTAATTTCCTATCACGACGTAGTTCGACACGATGCATATGTTTGATATTTTAGCCCTGATATAATAAATTATACGCCGCACATAATCTTAAGATATAGATATCCAGACTTTAATGCCTAAGAAAAAAAATACCGAGCAAAAAATTCGTGTCTTATTACATTTCAAATAAAATATAAGCTCCGTTAGATGATAACCGGAACTAACAGATATTGAATTACGCAAAGAACGTGCAATGTCTAATTAAATGTATGTAGGCACATACTAAGATTGGATGATATTTCTAAAACAAGACAATCCTGGGAATTCCAAGTGTGCAGGAACGGTGTCGAGACTTTTTCATGTTAATAGGGCCATACAAAGCACGTGACTAACTTTTATGTTATACAATTATATTACCGTTCTGATACTTTTAACTAACTCTTTCCCTTTTCGATTGTTTATTTTGAATAATCAGAATCAGAAGTCTCATTAATTTGATCAACATATAAATGTAGAATGATACCAATAAATTTTTCCACGAGATACACCATCTTTTCTCTTACGATCCACGGGCGAAGAACGTTTCCGTCAGTAGGCCGCATGTAAGCGGAACAAACTCGGTGTTTCTGGCGCCGAGAGGCGTGAAACCGACGTTTGTCATCACGCCAAAAATATATTACGTGATGGCATGGATTAGACGCCTCTCTCTTTCCTCCCATTGAGGGGAAAAAATTTCCTCGGACCATGTGGGAGTTGGACGCAGGCACATTGTGCGTCCGATCTCACGAATGGTTCACGAGGCAGATTTTCTCACGCCACGCGAGCGATCTTGAAAGTAATATTACGCTATGCGCTTTTTGATTTAGTAAGGTAGCCGGGTCACGATCCTGTGAATAATAGCGGTGCAGCTGATTAGATTAGATAGACGTAACGCCATGCCTAATCGGTAATCAAATTAAAAGACCCTGATAAGACTTTTTGTATCGACACGACGATTTAAATAGATAACCGGGTTTTTAAATGACTTCGAAGTTATTTATGGTCGTGACATGATTTCTTATTTGATATTCTGCTAATCTCTACTGTGATGTCTTACTCTTAACTTCTTCATTGAAGTGTAAGGTAAAAAATTTCAAAACCGGATTGTCACTGAATTACTATTTGCATATATATGATAAAGATGTCAAGATTGAACATTCTCATAATTTACTCGAACTTTCATTTCCGATGTTTTTTAAAGATGTGTATGTCCGTACTATTAAATTTCATGAGATGAACTTATTGTAGAATGTTATATGTCTTTATTTTCAATAAACTGTTATGATTTTCTTAAATGATATTCTTTTTAAGAGACATGTTAATTATTAGAATTATTTGCTATAAAAATTAATACAATTAAAAATAAAAAATATAATTACGTGAGTAATATTATGGTTAAATATTGACTTAAATTATGATGCAACTTTTTCTCGCTTTGAAACCTATTTCGAACAAAGCGTCGCTTGGAAAAACTAGATAATCAAGGCGTAGGTTCACTCACCTTATGATTTCGTGGCGTCCTCGAGAGGTTGCTGCGCCCATTGATGAGAACATTGTCGTTGAGAAACGACACGTCGCAGGGCGACGGTGGACCCCCAGAGATTTCCCACTCAGCATCGTCGGTCGTAGAGGCATCTAAAGTAGCATCGAGCATTATAATGCCACCATCACCAACCTATAACAAAAAAATAATGATAGTAGAACATCACGATGAGTTTCGAAAAGAACATTATGTATAAGAACCGTCACATAACTTAAGAAAGGCAGACGAGACATGCAGTTGTCTCAAATATATTTTATGATACATATTTTTTATACATTTATTTAAAAATTTGAAAATTTTATGAAATTATTCTTTACACATGATATAATAAAACGTAATCATTTCAATACCATGTACTATTCTTCATAAATATATGAATAATTTTGAAGTGATTAACAATGTCATTTCATTAATAATTAATTAAATATGAGGTATTAAACTTTACTTTAAAATATTATTTACTAACACATTAATATTTAATTTTATATCTCCGTATTTAAATTAAAATCTGTCTAAATACGGATAATTTATTAAAAACTTCACTTGCGATTAAGACTTGCAATCAATACGGGATTTTAGGCTATTACTCCGACGAAAAGAAATTTGTATACATAATAATTTTCTTTCTTGTTTAATTCCCAATTTAAAGAGAATTTAATGAAGTACGATAAACTCGTTATTTTGATTTTTGGTGCCACTGTAAATAGAATTATTAATGTTGTTTGAAATCGACTTTTTCGTGGGTCACATGTGTAAATTCCTCCCGTTTACGAATGCAAAATCCTAAGATTTTAGTAGATTATATAGGACGTGTGTTCATGTTGGATTCGAGCGCATATGTAAATAAGCGCACATGCAAATACGCAATCTTCTATGACTCGAGAAACTCCCGCGGCGATTTAGGAAAGTTGTTCCCGCGTGAAAATATGCAGAGGGTTTGCTTGAAAAAATGCACCTTTTCCTAACCCACATTTAAAGTTAACGTACACGAGACTAACAGTAATTTATAGTTTGCGTGTATTTATCAAACAGCTTCCTCAAGCTTTCGCTCATGGAAATTAAACGACGATATCCGCCATTAGATTTTATTTCATTTTTTGGAAGATTTCATTTAAAATTTTATGCAAAAGTTGTCAACATAAAGACTGTTTATTATTCGTGTCCTAAATCAAATATGCTCTAGCAATTCTGCGAAATAATGTAATCACTAATCTTTTCTCTCGGAAAATGTATCTCCGATAAATATAATCTGTCCTTATATGTTTCGTAATCACGTGATGCATATTTATAAATATTGATTTCGGTCAGTCACATATTTAAACAAATCAAAGTGATAATAGGACGCACAATAAATTTTTTAATAATATAATTAGGGGTAAGTATAAAATAAAGATTATATAGATGATAAAGGATATTAAAATATATTTAAAATTTATGTAAAATTTTTATGATAAAATCATCGATTAAAATGATCGATACATATTTACACGTTGTAACCGGAAATTTTTAACAATTTAAATTTATTAAATATCATTCACTCGGTAATAAAAGTCTTCACGAATCTAATGAAAATATAGTCTCTCTTTAATATGATAGTCTCTCTTTTAAATCCTTATTGATTTTTTAAAAGAAAATAGAACAAGACAAAAAAATCTCTGTACGAGATAATTTTAAATGAACAAATTTATTTGATTAGACAATCATTCGGCCATGATATCGTATGTGCAAAAAAATGCTTGTATTATTTTTTACTTTTTCATCAGGCTTATGGCAAGTTGAATAATGTGAATAAATTCACATAGATAGATACTGGGAATATTTTTCCTTCGCTTCTTAGAAGTAAAGACTGTGAAGGAAGACGTCCAAGCACACGATCCGCATCTCCTGCATCTTATTTATTTTTCTATACCGAAAAGAGAAGAAAGGAAAAACTCGTTTTCCAACGGAGCATAAAATGTGTCATCACAGTCCGAAAAAAAAATATTCGAAAAAGTATTTTCGTTGCAAATTATAGTCTGCGTGATGTTTTCTCGGCGTACAATTGCAAATTATTCCCGAAGTGATCTTGTAAGAGGAGGGGAGAGGGGGGGGGAAGGGGACTTATGTCCTGTTGCGTTATTTTTCTCCTTTTGTTAACAATGGAGATGTTAACTGCAGACGATTCGATCGTGCTTTCGAACGTGCCGTGACGACCGCGACGGTTACATTCACGCGAGACGTCAGTCGGTCATTACGATTACCGCCTTTCAAGACTCTCATGAATGGGACATCCTGCCGAGTCGAAGAAAAGAGGGAAACGTGAGTGATACAAGGTAATATGGATAAACACTCGGTTCGCATCGAGCTGTCCTTCGAGGGAGGGCCTGCTCTCGAGCTACCTCTCTTCGGTCGAGTGAATTCCTTCACGAAACAGGATATACGAAAGAAACGCCACACTTTATCGCGTACTTTAGAATTACCTGACATTTGTCATTCGCGGACATGTGTTTCGTTCCTTCGAGAAACGTCACATTTATTCTTGTTTGCATGAAGTGCTATCTTCAAAGTATTACAAATATAAAATAATACTTTTAAACTAGAGATAATTAAAAGAACACAAGTATATTTAATAAAAAATACATTATTAGAGAACCATTAATCTTCTAGAAAATGCAAAAATTTTTTTAAATGCAGATATTTGATTTTTAAATAAAAAATTATTTGTGTAGTTTTGAAAAAAAAAAAATGATAATCGTTTTCGGGATAGTATGTCAGCTCTCTAAATTCTTTGGAATGGAATCTTACTCTGAAGAGTGAAAATTGAGCGAGTCTCGAAAAAGAGTAGCTTAATTTTTAATTTTTAAGGGTAAGATTTCACTCTTTAGAATGACATTTATTCTAAAAACTTTAAAGAGAAAATATGTCTACGTCACACGTTGTTATGTATATTACATTAATATTAATAGGTGTATCTTAATCACTTTCAGTATTTTATGTGTTTCTGTGATGATATATAATAATATACTTGCGAGAAACTTTCGGTAAATTCCACGTTCACACGGCGAAGATTCTCGTGTGAAATCGAATGGCCTTACATCGGCAGACGATCAATTTCCGGTCTACTTCCGGCGATCGCCGCCGGAGGATCGCACGACGATCGACAATTTTCGAAAGTGATTTTTTTGTGGTAATCTGCCTCTCCATCGTGTCGCACGACGATTTAGGTTGAACGTTCGTTAATCCAGAGAAAAATGCGGTCACAGATCATAAGACGCAGCCGCATTACGGACGAGCAACGATCGAGGCCGAGCAACATAATATCTGTATTTGAATATAAAACATGGCGTGCCGATGCCATATGTCGGTGAAACGAGATAAGCGAACAAATATGTAGCGATTCCATGTCGGAAGTCTATTATTTCCTTGCTCGATACGTACTTTGACAAAATCTGTAATTTGCGGAAGTTCCAGATAATATTCACATAAAATGTCTCAGAAGTCACTTTCTCCGGAATACAGAAATCTCCGATCGAATGACAAGATTTTGAACAGTAAGACATTGGAAAATTTTAAATATAAAAAAAAACTCAATTAAAACTATAAATTCATGTGAGTAGATAACGCAATTTTATTCACACAAAGCTATCGATTGGATTATAGAGAATTTTGTTTTGTTTTGATTATTCAAATATTTTAATGATCGTCTCTAAGAGGCTAATTGTAAGAATAATTTGATGAACTTTCGAATGTTCATCAAAACATATGTATATCGAGAGAAAGTGCACAACACTTCAGATGAGACATCGTTTTATTCTGTTTGATTGTTTTAGCTCATCTTGTTAAGCCATCATTGATAAATTCACAACATTGAATTACATAGTGAATTAAATAAAAATAATAAGAATTCTTGTGATAAATTCTTTTATGATAAAAAAAAATAAAAAAGGACATATAAGAGTCAAGAAGGGAAATTAATGGACAGAAATGATATTAAATGTAGAGTTTACAAAAACGAAATTACATGTTTCGGCTAAATTTTAAACCATCCTCAGATCGCAGAAAAAGACCGGGTTACAAAAAAACGTCTTGCTTTTCTTTGTATCCCAGTCTTTTGCTGTTTCTGCGATCCAAGGATGACTCTTAAAATTGAACCGAAACATGTAATTTCGTTTTCGTAAACTCTCTATATTTAATATACAGGTTAGGGATAAACCTATAATACGACCAGATAAGGGGAGAGGGAGGATGATTTCTTGTACAAAAATAAGTCGAAAGTACAGAATTTTTTTCGTTTGTGGCTTTATTTTCGAGAAAATTAAGTTTAAACATCGTGTTGAGAGAATATGCGTGCACTTAATGTAGATGCGCTTTGTGAAAAGAAACTGTATAAATGTTACAGTGTTTACGTAACGTCCATATGACTTTACGAGTAGCAAGATTAAAGAAAATGTGATAAATAATTAAATTTTACTCATTTTATTAAGAGAAAAATTGCTGGAAATCCCTGCTGCCACAAGCAAAGTTGTGCTCGTCAAGTTATACATTCATGGATTCTGACTAATATCTTCCTATTTTTCACTCTCTCTCTCTCTCCCCTCTCTCTTCTTCAGAAATAATTTTTTGTATTACTTCTCAATAAAATTTAATTTTGTCGGAAACAAAGCTTTGAATAAAAAAAAAGCTTATTCTACACTTTCGATTTATTTTCGTACAAGGAATTATTTCCCATTTGATTGTATTATAGATCCCTGTATTATTTCTGTCTATTAATTTCCATGCTTGACTTTTGCTTCATTTTGCTATTTATAGCAAAGTAAAATATTAATAATCATATTAACATATATATTGTACCTGTTGTGCTCACTCAACAATTGTGTTGACTTGAATACAAGGAAAAAGATTCATTGACTTAGGCGTAAACTTTCTATCTGCACGTAGATCAGTAGATTTCAGATTAGTAATTGTTCGTGATTGATTGCGAAGCGAGAAAAATGCAACGTGCTATATTCCCGCCAGACTACTAACTGCAGATTAATGCGTCGGATTCATTACGCACGTAATTCCTGCGGATAAAGTATTGTGAGAAAAACTGCGAACTCAATGTCTAGCGTATAATCTCGTATTATGTCCAGGCAAATGGGCGGATTAAATCT